ACGGTAGAGAAAATCCCACTCCGCACGACCTATACGAAATTCTGACAGAGTGAGGAGGTGTCGTTATGTTTTATCTGTGTTTTCATCAATACAACTTGTTCCCACTTTCTGCACGAGGCCCTTTAAATCAGTCGTGACTGAAGCAGTAGACCAGAGCCTTGGTGCTTTTTCTCGCCTGCTTCAATCGCCCACTGACGAGGGACAATATTCTTCTGCTGAGAGCAAACCAGCTGCTCTGACCAGACCCTAGGTGTGGCCAAACGCTGAAGCACGACGCCAGAGGCAGAAGTGGCCTGACACACCTGGGTGCCAGCCCACAGGGTGGCTTCTTCTTTTCAACGTATGCTGTGCTTTTGTTTGCTTTAGTAAGAAAAGCAAAGTCATCAGAAAAATAACACAAAAATGTCTTTGTCTGACCATTTGCATAACATGTACAGTGGGTGTGGTAAATGCAAATAAAGTCAACACCCCCCCCCAACGCACACACACTGTAACTTGTCCCTTTATTCATTTTTTTCCTTTACATAAATATTTTGATCTAAATATATTAAACGGAATTTTGCGTCTGTGTTTTCAATATAAAATTGCAATCTGTCTCCCTAGTGGAGACCTGTAGAGACATTACTCTCACTCACTCCCATTCCCCCTCTCCTGCCCCGGACTCGGAAAATACAATAACTTGTCATTTAGACAGCCTTTTGACCCAAACTCTTATTATGAAAAGCATGTTGAGTAAAATAATGTCCCTAAGTATTTCACACTAATTTGAGTAACTGGTGTCCAATGTACAATGTGCTCTACAATTGTTTAAAGAACAAAGGGAGATGAAATACTGCATGTGAGCTTATAATCAAGCAAATATATAGATACAAAATACTGTAAGATTAGTTAAAAAATCAGTAGGCAGTTTTTGGGTAAATGCAGCACTAATTTTAAATGGTTTGTAACGCATCACATGTCACAATGTCATCATTTGTATTTCACAAAGATACTATGTCAAATATTGTATCCTGTTGCAGTCCGGACAACTTGCTTCTGGCACTCTAAAAAAGGTAGCCGACGTGAAGAAGAAATAAGGATTTATTTCTTTAAATAACATTTAAGAATTCAGTGAGATCTGTGGCTTTTCTCAGTAAATGATATAGCTGGTGCTCTTTCTGCCAAGTGCTGCCAAAGCTGCTTTTGACATCGTTGTTTCATTCCGTTTGTGGTTGGCAGTGGCCGGTGTTTAATGGTTTGTTTCCCTATGAAAATGTGCGCAGCGCATCGCTCATCCCTCACTTGAGTCTCCCAGCCTGGCCCATGTATCCTATAGCAGTGTTTACACTGCGGTTACCAAGAGCTGCTAATCACATGATTTGCTAAAATATCAGCAGTTCCAGCTGGAGGAGAATGCATTTGCGCACTTAAGTTACACCTAAGCAAACAGTGCATATAGTATTCTTCAAAGGGCATAAGAAACAACTTCTTGGTGGTTTAGAGAGGAAAGCACTTTTCCAGTGAATGCATAACAAGTCCCCGAATATCTCTGCAGAATGATGCAGGTCAGCATCATATATTCTGTGCGGCTCCCTACAGAAGCCACGGGGAAGCTACAGTGACATGCTAGGCCCATGTGAAGGAATTCTACTGTGTTTGCGGAGACGTGTTCAAGCAGGCGGGACTCTGCCTCAGGTTTCCCACCTAACCATAGCGGATGAAAATTAGCCACTGACTGCTCTGAAAGTGGCCCACTTGCGTCAACAACTGGCGAGAGAGCTGTACGTCACCCCCTGTGCTGCCGTCTGTCTTGGTTTCGCAGCTGTTCCCAGACTGCTTTCATCGTACTGGGTTCCCATTCCTGCTCTATCGTACTCAACTTGCTGGGTTTCGTGTAGTGTGGGCTCTTGTGGACAGTGGCATACTGATTGGTTTCGGAAAGGTTATAGGTGAACTGGGGAGCTGTGCCTTACCTGAGCATCCTACAGAAATCCTGATATTACTGTGTTGGTTTGTGCCTGAAATTGGATGGGCAGATGTTGTGGATTTCCCTCGACATTAAGCCAAAGTCCCTTACTTTCATTTCCTCAGCACAAAACAATTTTCTCCTTGAGGAATATGGTTAGTTGTGATGATTTGTCTTTATTTATCTATTGGATTTTATTCATTTTCCTTCATAAGTGTACATTGGCTAGTGTCAGCACTGACTACACAGAACCAGTTCATAATATTTTGCATATTGCCAAAACTGAAGACAAGGGTCATTAACTAACATCTCATGTACTGGATAAAAAAGACCTAAACATTAGTTTAAAAAAGTTAACAATATTCATTTGTCAAATAAGTACAAAATAGCAGCCAGGGAAGCTTAATTATAAAGATGTAGGCATGACTGTGCTAATCACAGGAATAAATGCATACTGGAAGAATCTTACACTTTACTGTCTGATTACATGGTATAATATTAAAGTGCAGTAAGAATGGTTTAAAATTCTAACACTGTTTGAACAAGCATACCCCCACCCATTTCTAGCATTTAAGATAAGAACAAGCATTATATTTTTACAGTTTTTAGCTGCAGGGAGTCTCATCTAGTTTGTCAGGTTTTCCAACTGTATCTGTAAACATGAACAATAAACCTTTCTTTGCCTGAACCTCACAATTATGCAAATCTGGGACTGGAATAATAATTAAAAAACTGTTTAAATCAGAACTCAGAACCAAAGGGTGCAAGACTGAAATTCATAAATAAACTTGGATACAAGCAGAATTAAACCAACTGTACTATAGTACATTGCAAGAATATTAGAAAGCATCCTTGTTTTACAAATGCACTTTATAATTAGTGTGACCTTTTTATAACTTGAATGCTTAGATCATTAGAACACTAATGACCATAGCTAGTCATGAGCCTAAAAGTTTAAGATAGTAAGCAACAATTAGGTTCGCCTGCTCATAATTAAGTAAGCAAAGCAGGAGCAGCATTTGTTGTCATATTTTGCTTCTCGATTTGATTTTTTGCCATCAAATGAGGAACATCATCCCACAGACCATATGATTCTGTCAGGTTATAACAAACTCCAGAAAAAAATCAAATGTCAAGTGGCATGTATTTTCTGTATTTCAGTGTTGGTAGTGGTGGCTTTCGGCACCAATCTTGAATACTGATATCTATCAGTTTAACTGCATACCCGCCTCAGGGAGGCCACAAGCCTCATTAAATCAATGCTGCTGACCTCCTCTTTTGAACAGGACCACTCACAAGATAGCAACAGACCAGCGTGACGCCAGCATGAAACATGGGGTTTTGATCACAGAGACATGAGGGTCTGCATATCTTTTAATGGCGAGAAACCAGCCTCACACACAAACTAAACAGAAGACTAATTCGGTTGTGAACGGCACCACTGTGATGTAAAGTGCTTTTGTGAAGGAACTATGTTTGTGGTCAACTGTTCTAAGTTCACCCCCTCCAAAATAAAGCCAAGGCATTTGTTTTAATCAAAGAGAAAAAAAAAGACTGTGTTTTAACAAGAGTGTTTCTGGGTCCCACACTGTTAGACGTGCACACCCAGTTTGCAAAGCTGTGCTGTTTTTGCCTCTGTCACACCCAATGCAGATGCATCACGATTTAGTGAACTCTAAAACCAATAAAAGCCATCATGTGCCCAATGATTTTGCACAATTTTTGCCCAGTACATCCATACAATTTTTTTTCCTTCTGAAATCTTTCTAAAATACTATAAAACTGTATCTCTTTCTGTATCTCAAAAACTGTAGATCTTGGCAGAATAAGTTAGCCTAAATGGAGCTAGTCAATGTCCATAAATTGAGCCAGAACTCTTTCTTTAAAATCTTGTTCTTTCTGCTTCCAAATCGAAGTCCAAAAAAAGACCCTCAACCTCACAACACACGCCAGTGGTTCTCTGGTTCTCCCATGCAAAGCTTCTCACTGTTTTTGATATAGATGGAAGTCCGTTTTTACAGACATCTGAAAAGAAGAGCTGTACTGTTTCATTGCTTGTGTGAAATTCATTGCAGTGGCAATAGATATTTAAAGGGGTCACTACAAAACGATCAAGAGCTGTCAGTGAAGCAGCGTGACAATGGGAATATACAGTATAAAGAGAAACTACAGTAATGAGTAAAAACTACATCTGCAGTAATAAGGCAAAAATAAGAGGGAAAAGCAAAACTGCTTGCATTTACCTAAGAGCCTGTGATCTAAGGCTGATTGCTTCCTGTGCTTACATTGTACTCCCTTTCTTACAGAACATAGTCTATTTTAATTCAGCAGGCAAGACAAAGTACACCAATGCAGACAGTAAGTCATTTTGTTGAAACTGGAAAGCGAAACATCAGTTAAAAGTAATGTATATATATTAGGCCTGTTATTTTTCATCCATACCAGTGATATACAGATCTCAGCCTTGGCAAGGTAACATCTTTTACAGTATATCAGTGGAAAGACAGCACCCATGACACTCCATTCATTTTTAGAAAAAACATGATCATTTTACGTCTGATGTAACGTATCACCCATTCATGTTCAAGGGCATTTTAGGAAATCGGATTCCCCAAACGGTTCATAATTCAAAGCTGCCCACAGCAAGATAGCTTTTTCGAGCTTTGGAGAAAACAATACATCTTGTTAATTCTTTCCGAAAGCCCTTCCTGTCTAATCGTAGATCAATACGTTTGATGTAAGGTGCATATGAGCACCGTTAAGTGTCCAGTAATAATATTAGTCAGTTCATGCTGAAGACATCAGCTCCTGTCAAAAGCTCTTGTGTTCATTTGATTTCAAGAACAATTTATAGAAAAGGCATTGATACTGCCGTTCTCTGAAAACATGTAGGTGTTTCCACGATGGACATACTGTATGTTTGTGTTGTTCTGAACTATTGCAAAGGAAAGCTTGTGTTAACTGTGAGACAGGAATGACACATTGGCCGTGTGCTCAGTGCAATTTCTCTCCTCGTTTTAGGTGACTTTATGGTCAGAGAAACAGCTGTACTTACGTCTTGGCTCTCTAGGTCCATCAACGGTCACTTTAATTGCTCTGTGATAAGTAGCCACTTGAGGAGGACTGGTGAAGACAGTGATTGTGAGAGTAAAGCTCTTCCCTAAAAATAAGAAAAAAAGCAACACCAGATTGTGACCAGATTCACAACAGAGTAATTCTTGAATTAAATTTTGGGGGTTAATTCATTAAAATTTTGGGGGAGTAGGTCCTTGTCGTCAGCTGATGTTGAATACGGAAAAAACAGTCAGCTCTCAGACATTCAAAATAAATTCAATAAAATAAAAACGATGAATTCCTGCTCTCCGCAATTACAAATATAATTCTGGCTTATATACTTCAGCTTAGGCTTTGTTGGCATTTGTCTTTGAATATTTTAAGAAATTATGTGTGTTACCGAATGACATATCTTATATAATGCATGTATTTAGGACTTTCAATGTTTACTCTTGAATTTATCTTAAAATGAGACGTTTCGTTGATATTTAAGTCTCACTCTTCATTCTCCTAAATCCGCTACAGTCCCAGCTTGCAGTTTACGGGCGGTAGCCGAGCTTTCTTTCCAGCTCCCAGGTTCATTTTTATATAAAAGGAATCTCTTGTTGAGAAACTGTAAAGGGATCCTAACAGGATAATTAAGTGCAGAAATGAAAGGTACTTTTAATTCGTAGACGAAAGCATTTTCCATTCATCAGCCTGCAACTATTTAAGTGTAGCGTTTAAAAAGAGAACTCGAGTGTGGGACTTAGGCCAAGACGAGGAGGGAGGGGGCAAAGAAGGCTCTGAAAGAATGCAAACTATCTGAACTCACATGAAGAAGCCGTAAGTAAACAGTGAAGCCCACAGAAACGTGAGGCTGAAAGGTGTATTTAAATGGGCCTCAAATCACAGTGCAAGAAACCAAACCATCTTTCTACTGTATTTCCACTGCTCTGCGAGGCGCACAATACTTTCAAGATCATTGATGCAGACGCCCTACTTTGATATCAGTAACCACAAACAGGTGATGTATTTACATAGGAAGAGCTCAGTGGGCAGCTTCCTAATGAGGCTTCTTGAGTAAAAGTGCTGCCAATTGTATTGATTTCAGCAGTGGAGGACAGAGGTGTGTGACAGCGGATGTCTGTTGACCTACAACTTTTCCTCTTCCAATGTACTGGCTTTCAAATTATTCTGCCATGGCCGATACAAAGGCGACCTGACGACCTTTTTAATACAGAAGTGTAGTATTTATTTCCACCTCTTGAATGCCTTTGTGATGCTTGTCTTCAAATGATGTGAGCTGCCCTACTTTATTTGTTCAGCTGTTATCCCCGCTATTTAAAAAAAAATAGACCCACTTTATCTACATTAAATTAAAATCCCATTAAGGGATCTAAGAGACATTTACGTTTTTATCAATATGAAAAAATACTATTTACCGTTTTTTTCCTGTGTTCAACAGATGGAAAAAAAAACTACGATCCAGCTGCACTGTACACTTTATTGCATTTATGTATCAAAAATGGTGAAATTATTTATAAAAATGCATGAAAGCTATTGCACTAGCTAGGACTCGGAGACAGCAGGCGAACGAGCACAGCTTCTACTACTACCAAGAACATCTGATTAATTCACCTGCTACAATATAGGTCTACGCAAATGAAGTCTCGTTTGAAACCTCCCAACAACAACAACAACAACAACAACAAAAAACACAGCACAGTGTACCAAAGCAATAAGCTCACCTCGTCCACTCCGTCCCACGAACCGGAGGTCGTTGAATCTGGCCACTTGGTTTTTCATCACAGCCGATGCGTTTCTGAGTTCCGCCGAGTAGTTCTCGTCGTTGCCTGCCATCACCGTCACCAGCGTCCCATCAGGAACATCCCCGAGAGACACCACCTACGGGATCAGCAGTCAGTAAAACCCCGGGACACGTCTCTCCCTGCTCCCGGTTTTTCTCTATCAGCGCCGACAGGTTCTGCCCTTCTAGAGCAGGACAAGATCGCTGTCGCGTAATTGGCCACTAATACGCCAATAACACATCCCCACCGACGGAAAAGCTGCCCATTTAACGACCCATTTCTAGGGAAGAGGATTTAGCTCTGCAATCATACCCGATCTAGGAACTAAAATTAAACTACACTATAAAAGTGCTACATGTCGAATTGTGTTAATCGGCCCGAAAAGTATTATCGCAACCTAAAACGAGCTGGGTGCCCTTTTCGATTATAGTAGTTTGATAAGGAAAATGAGAAATTACAGTATATCGTGTTTCTGATGATGCTGTTTGCGTGGTTGTTGCTGTCGTCTTTATTCATGGTGTAAAATATGAAACGCTTTCCTGATGATGTATTACTGTTGAAGCGAAATGGCTTGTACGTTTTTTAAAAAAATACGCATATACTGTCTGGGATTTGCTACATTTCCGCAATATATCCAAAGGGATCGGACTTAAAATTATGATTAGGAGACCAGTACGGAAACCTTTAAAAAAACAAAATATAAATACAGGAAAGTATATGAATTCAGAGCTTAACTTTGAAAAAAATAAATATGATCGGCTACTTTACCGTGTGCTGATAACCTCAATAAAAACGAGAAACGATCATCAAAACAAGAAAATCTATTTTCATTTGTTCAGAAATATACATTGTCTTATATTCAGACCACTGAATAAAAAAAAAACTGTATTTATGAGCTAGCTGGAGATAGTTATGAGTTTGAGTGATGAGTTAGCGTCAATTGCAAAGACCGCAGTGAAATTCTTTAAAGTTGAATTGCCCACACACCAGAAAATCCACAGTGACCGACACCGCTTCCCACAAAATGTAAGAGACCCATTTGTCGAAGGTAAATGCTCTTAAAATAGAAAACGTTCTAACCCCAATTTTTTTTTGTCCCTCGTCTCGCTACGATTCGTGTCCTGCGCCTCCACAGATCCATCAATGCGAGCGACTTTGAAAACATCTGTCAGGCAGGGAGGGATAAACGGTACGGGTGCAACGCAGGAATGTTTTCTTTTTAAATCGGAGTGCGTTGCAGGATAGCGCTTCGATCGACGATGAGAAATGACAAAATAACATTTACACTTGGTAAAAAAAATATATATATATTAAAAAATTAAATAAAAATGTGTCGAATCCTGTGAGTGATTCGTCGTCAGCGTTATCATTATTTCATTGTTTTCAAAAGCAGGCTGTAATGAATTGCCACAACATACAGTAGTATCGCGCAGTGTTATGTCGCATTTGTGCGAAGTCTCGGGTCAGAGATTTCCGTTATATTGTCAAGTACGCATACAGTATAAAACGAAAAATTCTTAAAATATCAAATTACATATAATATTTGATTTAACCAACTTAAGTCGCGCCACTGAAATCATCACGGTATTTTATTCCGCTTTAAATGTACTGTTATTATATTCACTAAAAGTTGTTGAGTACATACAGTAAAACAACATTTTTCAGGGTATCTCATTGCTGTTATTGACTATTTAGTACTGCGTTGCTTCCTCTCTATCAAAAAGACTCGCGTTTTATGCGCGATATTCAAAACGGCATTGTCGCCAAGCACGGAATCGCATCTTCCAGGTGTGTAACCTTTTCCTGAAGAAAAGCCTCAAGCATGTCAGAGAACTGACCGCAGCATCGGTTCATCTCCCTATAGTGGACGTTCCACTCTTATATCCTAGATAATCATAAGCATAAAAACGGCAACCTGTTATTAATTTCTAAATTGGCAGCGATAGTAATTTCTGTTCAAATATTAGTCTCTGCACTAAAAAAAAATTAGAGTTAAAAACAGCCTAATTTACCGCCTCCCCGACAACAATGTACAATTGCTGCAATTAAATAGTGTACCGTTTTAGGTCACTGTTCAGGCGTTTAAGAACAATCCATCACCCAGAAAAACAAGAGAAGGCAAAAAAACAAACAAACAACCCAATTAATTTCTTACCTTAAAGGCCACAGGTAGAGTTTTGTTACATCTCCAGTGCGAAGGCAACACAGAGCAGAGGAAGTTCGGGCTGTCGGTCCGGACCAGCTCGCCGGCGTGGTCGGCCAGAACTTCCACCACAGAGCGCGTCTCCGGTCGAGTCCTTACCGGGCCGGGCGTGCCCATCGGCCCGGTGCTTTCGCCTATCTTACTGCACGGGAAGGACGTCGAAGGCGGTGTAAACCTTCTCGTGGTGGTCGGGTCTACGGGAATATGCATCACAACAACCGGGTCAGCCTTGCTAAACAGCACGGTGTTCTCTGAGGATTTCCTGTACAGATAAATGTGGGTTTCTTGTTGACCTCTTTTCTTTCTTTCTCTTTTTTTTTTCAAAAGCACGCCAGTGGTCTTGTAATTTAATGTTATGTTTTCAAAAACGTCCAGCAGCGGAGGTCTACAGCCGAGAGCTGCAAACTTGGCGGAGGCAAAGTTTTATCCTGTATATGAAGAGTGCGTTCTGCTCGCACCAGATGTGGAGCTGGAGTGTGTTCTGAGCGCACGTAGAGTTGCTTAAAAAAAGTTCCTGAGGCTGCTGAGCTGCGCTGTACTTCAGGATGTCAAAGCAATGCAAAGTGTCGGTTGCTCGTTACTTTCTCATTGACTTCAGCAAAACTAAAACCGCAAACTCTCAGACCATTTTGTTTCTCTCTGCAGCGATCGCTGTTCTGTCCTATGCAAATCAGATCTTCTTTCGGTTCTGCACCTGATGTTTTTTTCCCTGACACTACCAAGACCGATATCTTCACAAATACTCGCTTTTGTATAGCAAAATATATATTTTTTTAAATCACAAATGGCAAAATTCCACCAAACCGAGTCTTTATTTCGCAATTTATTTCAATCTGGAGGACCACGAATGCGCTTTCAAGAACAATCAACATGCAGATGCATATTTTAGTTCATATCAGGCATAGTCTACAAATATTCCCTTTCACCCAAAAAGTGATTAGGAGGTTTTTGGGTGCGCTTGCTCTCACTTTTTAAAAAAAAAACTAAGTCGCCTATGTTCTAATGACGTTGTCCCTGTAAGTACGCTCCGTGCATATCCAAAAATGAAAGTTTCACAGCCTCGGCCCCCTGCTCCAGTCCAAAAAAAAAAGGCTTAAATCAATGTCCATCCAAGTTTATTTCGTGATATTTAAATATTTAGTTGTCCAACGCCGGTTTACGGAACAAGAACAAACTCGCTTTCATTCTGCAGGGAAAAAAAAAAGAAAAGTTTTTTTTTTCAGGTTCTTCCGAAACGAGCAGAAATGTTTCGGCAGTCAGTCACTGAAGACTTGCTTATCTGATGGAAAAGTAAGATAAGCATGAAAATAACTCGAGGTTAATAACGTCGTCTTCGATCCTCTGCCGCTCAAAGCTCCGACATTCCCTCTGCTTCCAGAGCTCGGTGCAGAGTTTTCCCCGTCTTACGGTTTTTTGGGGGGAACAAGTTAACAAGCTCTCTTTTTTTTGAACGCAGCGATGCACCGCAGAAGGAAAAGTACAGTAATATTATTTACTGCAGTCATTTAGCGCTGACTGCCGGAGGAGTGACGGCGCCCTGCACCAATGAGGCGGATGGGTCGGGCTATCAGCTGACCAATCACATCCGACGGACCTGGGACGAGGAACAGGGACGCCTTTTGCACGGAGTGTATTTTTTAAATACTGCCAATAACACATTATAGGCAATTAGCTGATACAGTGGCTATATTTTTCAAGCTCGGTCCTTTTAATTTTTTTATTTTGAAATCTATAATCTGTAGAGGCCGGGCTACGAAGAAAAGAGAGTCCGCTGTGTGTCACACACAAGAGACCAACTTCGATGCAAAATGCAGAAGTCCTGCACGAAGTTATTTTATATTATGTTCTACTGTATTGTAAGTTCATCTGTGCTACCAAACACATGCATGGCTTTCGCGGGTCTTTTGAGGAGGACGGCCTCAGTTCTTTAGCTTTTAAAATGGTAACCGAACATTAAATGTTAAAAGACTGATAGCCTAAGGCGACGTTTCTCTGTTAAGACGCACATACAATGTACTATACACCGTCCTGTTAGTTGCGCGGTAATGTACCGCATCCACATAATTTAGTCTTTAATGCCTTTATAATAAGGCTGTTTGCTGTAACCTATACGAAACCTGTCTTGCGGCAAAGAATTTCGCGATGTGAATTGTAACACCGTTCGGATTATTTTATCAGTACAGGGTACTTTCTTTTTAAGTCCCCTAAGCAAAACGAATTAATTTGTATCTGGAAACTATGGGTTAAATGGTGTCTCTGTAGCCATAAGCCGTGTAGCAAAAAAAGGATTATCAAAACCACAAATCCATCGTTAATGAAAATGAAAGATTTCTTCACAGCGAGTAAGATTCTATAAGTGATGATAAATCGCGCAAAATGTCAATCAAATTGCAGGTTTCTTCAACACATGGCGCATTCTAAACTCTGGACAGCAGTAGTAGAGAACTGTAATCTCCGTGAAGTACAATATAGAGACGGCGAGGTGAAATGCAGATATTTGAAAAGCTGAAAATATTTTCTTAAGGGCCTGCACGTTTCAAGTTTCATGTTCCCTCCTCACACCCAAATAATCTGTATGATTAAAGGCGACTACAGGTGCCTAGATATCTCGAAGACGTTTATCGTGAATCTGTGTGTGGTATTCGCGGTATTCTGGAGATCAACATTAAAACGATTTTCGATCGATTAGAATTTATTTCAACGTTGTCAAAAAGAAAACAGGAACACCCAAGGAATGGATAATTACCCGTAATGATAAATTCATGATTGTTTTAAACAGTAAATATTCGAAAACCTTAACACGTGTCCACAAAAAAAAGGCATTTTTGTTCTGGTTAAAAATTGTGGTTTATTAAATAATTCTCGCTTATCATATCTATTCAGATTTCAATCCCAAACTCAAGGAAGATGCTTGGGTTCTGTTTGAAAGAGCGAAAAACTATTTTATACAACAGCTTTTTAGTAGCCAAGATGTTTTCGGGGTATTTCGAATACTGACAGCATTCATTGTACCTGTCCTGATCTTATTCTATCCTCTAGTCGGAGAATAAATAAGATAAGGGGAAAATTCACGGTACATGGAACACGTTGGTCTAGGGTTACAGAAAAGCTGTATTATTAAATAACTGTTCCTTAAGGATACAGTATTACTGTATATGTTTCTGTTTACTAATGTTTGGAACCTTGCATAGTCAGCGACATAAGCATTAAAATCAGTGGTTTGAGGGCTTAAAGATGAATGGTTATTTGAAAGCGTATCTATTTATTGATATAAATGTTACTATTTCGTCTAGCACACTTTCTGGAAGTGTGCAATTATATGGTCACTTAAAGTCAATAATTCGCAACGCCGTGCTTGAAAGTCAAAGTGCGTTTAAAAGCCCCCAGCCCAGATGCACCTGTTACCTTACATTCAAGAACGACAAGAGTAAACATTTAAAAGGTTCTCTTCTCGCTTTTGCTTTTGCACTCTCGGGCAGTAAAAACATAATCGAAGGCGACAAGATTCCACCAATTTTTATAATATAGATCAGACGATATAAAGTGTTTTTTTTTCCAGATAAAATACACCTAGGAGAAATGATCTAATACGATATGAACGGGGACATCATTTTTATACATGGAATTTCCCCTTTAATGTGTAGTTTCAAGCTGCTTTTACACATTTGAGTGGAGCACATGTGTTCATACTAAATATTAACGAATAGGCCACCGCTTTCTAGCAGGGCATTAACAACATAGTACAGGCCCTGAGGGTTGTTTTCAGAAAAATGTTTTTTCATCAGTAATTTGACAATATAGAGATATTTTTTTGTACATGTATACGCATGGAGAAACTGCATTCAGCTTATGAATTATGCTAGCCCACATAGCAGGCTAGTAGGGGTCGGTATGGCAAACGAATCCGTATTAATCAGAAATAACTACTGTAGTTCATCTATCGGAGTGTCACAACCCAGAGCCACACCCTGTCTGTTCGCCACACCGAGGGCAATACCGTTCTTTCAACACTAGTTAGCGCTTTTGTCGTTTAAAAGAACTTCAGCTGGGACAGCAGAAGATTTCGGTAAGTGAAAACGTTTTCACTACGCAGAGGAACAGAAGCAGCGAGCGTGCTTCTCAGAGGGGAGTTCAGAACTGAAAGGGATATCGTGTTGGCGTGCTTGGAATTTTTATTATTTTCTTTGAACCGGTTTTGCAGAACACGAAATGTAAAACACGTTGCTCTTCCATCGAGAGGCTCGGTACAGTGCTAGTCTACAAATCCCGCGAATAGGACAGCCTGCCAGAATAATATATATGCTAAAAAAAATCACAAACAGTAAACCCGAGAGAAACACCGACTTCACAGCTTTGTATTTGTCAAACATAAACGTCAATAATTAGAAAGGAACTACACCCTAATTTAAGTTTTGCTATGAGACTATGAAAAAAATTAAGCAAGTTCGTATGTTCTGACTGTAATAAATAATGATATTTATGTTTATTTAATAACAGTTATAAAAATTAATTGGCCCTTAAAGCAAAACTAATCATTTCGATGATGAAACCTTGGGTCTGGAAGTGTTAACTGGTATTTTATTTTAAATGTAGCATCCGTGGTATCAGATCACCGATGTTTTTAAACCTACACAGGTTTATAAGCTTTCTGATCTGCGCGTTGTGATGTTAACTACTTGCTGTTGAATGGAAATTATATTTGAGGTCTAGGGCGCTCTTCAGAGGAGTCGAACCCGCGCAGTCTGAAAGACTTGTGCGCTGTGTGTAGGTGTATGCAAAGATGAAAGCAGGCAACTACTCTTATTACACAGATTAAAAAGTGGGAATATTACAATGAGTTTTAATTCGTTTCATCAAATAAAATCAGCGTAAGGCATAGCTAATACGTTTCGTTTTCAAATGGGTAATACTACTCTAATAGATACTGTATGTTCGCGCTCCATCGCAGCTTAGATTTAATGGTTGTGATATCTATGTAACAGGTGAGACTTCAGCAAATCAAGTTTGTGGAATAAATGTTTATTTTGTAATAATAGTCTAAAACTCAGAAAACTGAATAGATCTTCAAGTAGAGATGAGCGAGGTGACGTTAATTTGCAGTCAATCGTTTTCAGTTTTTAAATGTTAGTTCAGCTGTAATTTTCTTCAAAGCTGTGTAATAGGTCATGTGAAAGCAGACGAGTTGTAAACAAAA